ACCAGACCGTCTATAAATATTTCTGGTTGGGAGTTCATTGTGAATCTGGCTGTGATCGTCGTCCTAACTGCGACGTTAAAGAATTCCTGAGGAGATGGGGGAGCTCTATAAATACCTCCTGATCAGCCAGATCACATGGACAGGAAGGCTCGTCGCCGTACGAGGGTAAATAAGAGTGGTTGGGCTGGCTTGCTCGGTGACAACTTGGGCACAGGGGTGGGCCGATTCACACACGAAGACACTGCTCGCTCAATGATGCTGTTCGGTACGTTGGATTGAGGGGAGGGGAGGTTCCAATTGGAGCTCAACTGTGTACACAACTATACCCATCAATCATACATCTGCTACATTGTCTTTTTGTACATTTGATTAGTTGGTTGACGGACTGCTAACCTCACAGACATATTAGTACAGGACTGTTGTGTGCTACCATAGCCAGTTCTAACTAATGTTGCTGTAAGTGAACCAATCAGGGTGCATCTATACTATGTAGACAATCTATGTGAATGCTGTAGACATGCCACTTGATTCGGTATAGTAGGGAACTTGTCGGACACAACCATTTATAGAAAACTACGTGCCGGTCAGATACATGCTGCGGTAGGATTCCATTAGGGGATTCTAGTGCAGATACTATTTGTCTAACTAATGAGTGGGTCAGAACCTGTTGATGATAGAGCTGACGGTAGGAGACTAACACGTGCACAGGCACTAAGGGTACCGCACGTGTTCCAGGCCTTGGATCCGGGAGAAGAAAGACGGATACGTAGAGCCCGTGCGTTAGCAGCGGGGATAGCAGAAGCAAACAGAGCAGCAAGAGAGCAGGCAACAACAGCCAGAGCAGCTGCGATGGCTAACGGCGCAAGCTCTGCTGCGTCATCATCTGCGTCCTCGTCAAGGACTAATGGGAGCTCTTTGGGAATGCCAACAAGTTCCACAAGTTCCTCAGGCACTTCCGGTTCCACAGGTTCTAGACAGTCCTCTAGTCAAATGGTCGGCTCGCAGTTCAGCCCCATGACCGCACGTGAGAGGGAGCTCAGAGAGATCCAACAGGTCGAGAGGCTCCGCCAGCAGTTAAAGGAGGATTTGAAGAAAGCAACCGATAGAGAAAGAGAGATAAAAAGTAGAGCGGCCAGACTTGATACGTTAGAGGCTGACAAGGCTGCGTTAGAGGGATTGGACGAAACAGGTTTGTCTGACCCCCTGAAAGTGTTGAAGAACAACATGTTGTCACTACATGCGCACGTAGACAGCAGGTTGGACTTCATGCAAAGCACTTTGGACCAGATCCTGGATGCATTGACAAAGCCAGGATTCCGGCCACCAGCACAATCGCCGTTGCCGTTATCGGCGATGTCAGGCCCCTTTCCAGTTCAAGCTGGTACCCAGCCTAGTGGTACGTCTGCAGCAGTCTCACAGACTGTTGCATCTTCTTCTTCGGGTCCAGCGGTGGTTGCTACACCACTGCAACAACCTGTCTCTCAATAGGGACAACAGCAAGGTCAATGGTACCCTAAGACCCCAATGAAACCGCCTCTTGCCTTCTCAGGCGAGAGGAAGGACGAGGAACTCAACACATGGTTGAGGACGGTCCCGGTTTGGGTGAAGGCCAAAAGGACCTTGCCAGAGGATGAAGTGGTAACTACAGCATCTTACCTAGAGGGTAAGGCAGCCAAATGGTTAGATGGGGTAGTTGTGAAAGCCGGGTACGGGCGACGCATGGCGGACTGGGCCAAGTCTTTGACTCTAAACCAGTTCATGGAGATGGTAGAAGCTCGATGGCATAACCCACAGGAGGCGCAAAGGGCCACTGATGCCATAAATAAACTAGACCAGCGCAAGTTCCGGTCAGTCAGAGAGCTTACCACTATCGTTGAGAGCCTGATCCTCGTCCCGGGCATCAACTACAGTGACCAGTTCCTGTTAACTACTTTCATTAGATGTCTTCCAGAGAACATCAGGAACTTACTAGCCAGTCAGGCACGCACCGAGTACCACTCATTTGAGACATTGTCTAGGAAGGCTTTAGATTTGGAGGCCACGCTAGGCAATGCTCAACCCACCTCAGGAAATGACTCAAAGAAGAAGAAGAGTCCTCAGGAGTGGAAGAAGAAGGGGGCGAAGTTGATGATGGTGGAGTCTGATGGGACTCAAACAGAGATCGACGAGCTCTCTGACCTGGTGGACTACACAGAGTTTGACGGCGAGGAGATAGTTGAGGGTAGC